CAAAGGAGGGGGCTTTGTTGAAAACGACGTGTTTGAGAGAGGCGGGGCATAGAGGACCCACAATAATGAACAGTATTTTAAAAATAATGTGTTTTTTGAACATTAAAGCATGTCAACATATTCTGTTACACCAAATACACAAAATAATGATCTTTAAAAAAGCATCATATGACCCCTTTAACAGAGACAATGCAGTATAAAATTGCTACAATTTCAAGCAGCCGATGCTCCACATATAGGCTTCTAGCCAAAGGCTAATTTGCAGACCCAGTCCCTGGTTAGGCTTTTTTAACAACAGTAAAACAATAATAACACAAAAAACTAAGCGAAAGTAAAAAAAGAAAAAAAAAGCTGAGACTGTGTACGACCATCAGTGTTCACAAACCTGCTTTAGTTTGAAGCACTTTTTAAAATCTGATTAGTTGCACCTCTTGTAGTGATCCCCTTACTACTCTGTTTTGATATTAATTGGCATATAATGTCTGGAGCAAGATTATTTACACATTTAAAAACCATTTTAATAAGAGACAAATTAATACAATTTTCAAAACTAAGCAAACTATGTTTTTGTAAAATATTACAATGATGCCATCTATTTGGTTTCTTGTCCAAAATTTTTAGTGTTTGTTTATACAGAGATCTAACAGGTTTGATAGTCAGTTGAGAAACCTGACTCCAGACAGTCACACAATAAGATAAATGCGAAAAGGCCATTGCATGCATGTATAACTTAGCTGCTTTTAGAGATATATACGGTCTAATCATGTAAAAACAATTCAAGTTTGTTCTGATTGTTCTACACAGCCTCTTTACATGCACATCAAATTTCAAATGAGAATCTAAAATAACACCTAAATATTTACAATTGTTAACTGTCTCTATTGCCTTTTGATTGATCTTAATTATAAAACCACTTATTTCCTTCCTTCTAATTGAAAAAGACATTGAGACAGTTTTTGAACAAGTCAAGGTCAAACAGTTGTTTTGCAGCCACTGTGACACACCAGTCATTTCATTTGTTAATATATCTACAGCTAAGCGTGGAGTCTGTGCCAATACCTAAATGACCATGTCATCTGCATATAACTGACATTTAGTTTGCTTACAACAATTTGGTAAATCATTGACATATAAGGAAAACAACAATGGACCCAAAATTGACCCTTGAGGGAGACCCATCTCATTGTTTCGTAAAGCTGATCTTGAATGATTTATTTTAACACACTGATCTCGAGATTCTAAATATGATCTAAACCAATTCATTGCCTGCTGAGAGAAGCTAAACAAATTTAATGTAGGAGAATTTCATGATTCACTGTATCAAATGCCTTTTTGAGATCTAAAAACACTGCGCCTACTACATTGCCATTATCTAAAGCTCCCTTAATAAATTCTGTGAGAAAGCAGTTTGCCATTTCTGTCGAATACTTAGGCCTAAAACCAAACTGTTTAGAGTGAAGTAGATCATGTTTTTCTAGATAGTTGATAAGTTGTTCAGCTACAAACTTTTCAAAAATTTTAGAGATTGCAGGGAGTATAGAAATTGGTCTATAATTCTGAACCTCATCAACTGATCTTGCCTTAAAAATTGGGGTTATAATAGAAGTTTTTTCAATTTGAGGGGAATTTACTTTCTCTAATAGATAAATTTATCAAATTTACCAAGGGCTTTAGCAAACAAGCACTATATTTTTTTTACGAATGCGGTATCCATTCCAAATATATCCTTAGCCCTTGAATTATTCAATTGATTAATAATTTGAAGTATCTTATCTTCTTATCATGAGGGTGTGTCATTTATTGCATTTTGAGGTAATTGTACAGGTTCAAAACATATAGTAAGCTCTTCCACAGACTGGATAAAATATCTATTAAATTCATTGGCAATTTCAGTGCTATCAGTACTAAGTCTTCTATTTATGCGCAGCTCCAACAATGGTTTTCTTTGGGTGCCTTCTCGTTTAGAAAATTTGTTAATGCACTTCCAATGAGATGAGCTATTTCCTCCTGATTCTGAAATCAATTGCTCAAAATACGCAGTTTTCGCCTTCCTCATTCCACTAACTACTTTATTTCTCAACTATTTAAAACTTAGGATAGCTGTCTGTGTTTTTGTAAGCAAAGACTTTTTAAAAGCAAGATCTCTCTTTTTCATTAGTTGATGAATATCTGAATTTAGCCATGGTAGGGATGCACTATTTTGTCTACATTTTAACGGTTGTGTATACTTCTGAATAATTTTTTCAGTGGTTTGCATCACAATTTCACAGTTTTTGTCCAGGTCACCAATTTGTAATGCATCATCCCAATTAATATTTTTTATATCATTTTCAAATCTTGTAATTTTACTCTTAGGGATGCCTACTACTCCTGGTTTAAAAGTTTGACGAACATTACTCTGCAAACGTTTCTTTGTTAATTTTCTAACAACAAGGATCGTGTTATGGTCGGACAAACCTGTCAGAAGATTATATATTTTTATTACCCTTTCAGGTATATTTGTAAATGCCAGATCAGTAAGAGTTGTACTTGTTTTTGTTATCCTTGTTGGACCTTTTATTAACTGGTTCAATTTATGTTTTGCTGTAATTGATTTCAGTTTTTGCTTACTACGTTTGTCTGACCAATTTATGTTAAAATCTCCAAATAAAACAGTTTCAGTACGACAATTTAAAAACGTTAACATTTCCTCTAAATTATAAATGTATCAACTGACTTTTAATATTTTTTATTCATATTTTAGTATTTATAAAGTATTTATAAAAATATTTATCTACAAACTAATACTGTAATCTATAAAAATAATAATTATAATAGCTTGACACTGGCAGTTTTTTTCTAAATATTTTCTAAGTATATTATTAAAACTAAAACTAAAAAATTGTTTTAGTTTAAATATAATTTTCGTTAGTAAGAAACATAAACATAACTTAAACATAAGAAACATAAATTATTAAATCTAACTTGAATCTCAGAGGTTTTTATTTCAGTTGTCAGAGGACATTTTCCTTTCATTTGCTGGAGAACTGCCCTTGTGTGTTTTTGAGTAAAATATCACCACGCAACTGAAAATATTTTGAGTTTGATTTTGAAGTGAGCCCATTAATAACACATTTGACCCCTATGTTTTTTTTCTGCAGTTTGTTGGTGTGGAGGGTTTCGTAACTGGCATTCTTGATCTTTTCCCTGGAAAGTATTACATGCGCTATCAGCGTGAAATCGCTGTGGCGATCTGCTGTTTATTATGCTTCATTATAGATCTCTCCATGGTTACACAGGTGAGTCCTCTTAATGAAAAACCGCTTCATCAGCTGTGAGAATATCAGCATCAGTCGTGTGGCTCACCATTAATCAGATAAGAATATAATGGTTTGTCACAAGTCCTTTCTCTGGGTATTAGATCGTCACGCTCTCATTCAGAGACTGATCTTTCTTCAGTCAGAATTGCTGCCGTATGTGGGAGTGACATGACTCATAAAGCTCATAGTGACCCGAAGCTTTACATATGGAAACTTCAAAGAATCAAAGTGAAAATAACCTGACAAGTAGCATTTGTGATATTGATTCATTTGTGTTTTTCCAAAAACAGATGAAGGTGACAAATTGTTGTGAAGACAACATGAAACAACATTCATGATGCATTTAATTCACTCACCTCAGGGTGAAACCAAATATAAATAATGCAGGGTGGAACTAGGAATTTGATCAGTGAGCTATAATATTACTGGTTAATATTAGTTTTTGATTATGGGAAAATAATAGGAAATATCATTAAAATCAACATTTTGTAGTTGCAACCTCCATTGTGGCATATTTTTGTTTTATAAAATGTCATTTATTTCAGGTTTAGAGCTTGAAAATATCAAAATTACAAGTCAGGGTTTGTGTTTATGTCCTAAATTTCCTAAAAAAAATCCTAAAGTGCAAATCTCAAATAAAATGAATATAAAATTACAATGCTCATATAATATTTAGTTTTAATTTTCTAAATAAATGCTGTTCTGTTGAACTTTCTATTTATGTATCAAAAGATGCATAACATTGATGGATATAAAAAATATTTCTTAACAGCAAATCAGCATATTAGAATGATATCTGAAGCATCGTGTGACACTGAAGACTGGAGTAATGATGCTGAAAATTCAGCTTTGCATCACAGGAATAAATTACATTTGAAAATATATTCAAAATGAAAACCGTTTTTTTTTTTATTCTAATAATATTTCACAATATTTTTACTGCAAATGAATGCAGCCTCGACTGGCATAGAATTTTTTCAATAATATAAAAACAAAAAAAATTCATACCAACCCCAATCTCTTGTATGCTTGTATATATTTATTCTACCACTATATTATTCTACTATTTGTGGGAAATTTCATATTTGTATTTGTTTTTTCTCTGTAAAACAACATGACTGATTGTGAGGCATTTATGAAGTAAAAAGGGTCTATTTTGATTTCATATCAATTTGCGTTTACAGGGAGGGATGTACGTCTTCCAGCTTTTTGACTACTACTCAGCCAGTGGAATGACCCTACTGTGGCAAGCATTCTGGGAATGCGTGGTTGTCGCGTGGGTTTATGGTGAGAATCTCTTCATGTAGCTGTTTTTCCATTCTCTTCTCGTCTCATCAGTTTATCAGGAGTACTGTAGGCATTTCTCTTATAAGAGTAGCTTGTAGGACCCTGTGCTGACAGTAACACTGCTGTAATCCCACACACACCCAAAAGAGCGCTGACTTCATGCCGCTGTGTGCAGGTGCTGACAGGTTCATGGACGATATTGCCCGTATGATCGGTTACCGGCCATTCCCGTGGATGAAGTGGTGCTGGTCCATTATAACTCCATGTGTTTGCATGGTGAGTGCTGGAAAATATGCTGGATAGTGCCTGTCAGTATTTATGCCATTTAACCCTTCTGTTGTGTTCAAAAACTCGATATAACTTTTGTGTTGTGGATCAAATTGAGCCCCATTGGTTTCCGAGCAATTTCAAAAAAAAAATCAACACTATGAAAAAAACTCAGAGGAAAACCTCTGTTGTAGCTTGTTTTTATGTTCAAAATAAGCAGCACAAACACACACAAAAAAATGTTTTTTTGTCATGACTATCTGAATATATATTGGGTTATTTTAATTCTCTGTGTTTTTGTCATTTTTCATTAGTTTTTTTTAAATATGTATATCTTTTTTTTATAATGTTAATTTCATTTTTACTTGTAGTTATTTTAGTACATCAAGATGAACTAACTGAAAATGAGATAATGCCATAAAAGTAGTTTATATTTTATTTCAAGTAACGAAAAATGTTTTGTTTCAAGTTTTAGTGAACTATAATAACCCTGGTATCTAACATTAATTGTACTTAGTGTAAGTAATATTTTTTTGCTATTTGTACTACTTCTGCCTTTTTATAATTTGTCATTTTCTTGTAATTGAGATCCAAAAACCTAACGACCAAAAACAGTGAATTTTCCTTGGAAGTCTTCAGTTTCGAATAAACGTTGAGTCTTAAATTTCATAAAGTCTAATGTATTTCATATTTAGACTTTCGACAGATTTAGACAGATATTCGACTTTCGCAGAAGTCGTCACAAATTTGTACAGCCTTTCCAAAACATGTCTGTGTTAAAACTTTGCATGCTCATTCATGACCCTAAATGAGAACTATTTACAAAATGTCCAGAAATAAAGGCAGTTTGAAAATCAAATGTGGGTCAAACTGACCTGATCAAGGTTAATTCTATAAAAAGACCTGCTAGACTGCTGCTCCTGTATTATTCAATTAGATTGTGTACTCTGATATTGTTCTTTATGTCTTCAGGGTATCTTCCTATTTCACCTGCTGAACTACAAGCCTCTGACCTACAACAATGTGTATGTGTACCCGTGGTGGGGAGAGGTGATCGGATGGTGTCTGGCTCTCTCCTCCATGCTCTGTATCCCCGTTAGCCTTTTGTACAAGCTCGCTGGAGCCAAGGGAACATTCAGAGAGGTTTGCACCATTTCAACCTATTCAAACCACTGCTCCATTAGCCAACACATAAGAGGTGTGGAGAGCATTGAGCGAGTAGCTTTGTTTATGTGCATCATTCAAATTCTGAGTATCGGCCCCACAAACAACAGTTAGTGCAAACAGTCCAAAAACAGCAGTTTATTGTAGCTGTCGATGCATGGGTCAGTTACCTCACTGAAAAGCATCAGAATTACTCATGAGAAAGCGATGCGTGTATTTATAGTAACTAGGCTAATGGTTGTCATTCCTCTGCAGATAGACCAAAATGCTTCATCCCCTCAGTGTTTGCTTCCAAACACACACTGAATACAGTTGAGGTCTGTGGCATGTATGTGTAGGAAAACTAGTGCAGGATGCTGGAGGAAATGGAAAATAATAGGGCTGTCAGTCAAATTAAATAGTAATTGTGATTAATCTCGCGCTTTTATAGTGCGGTGAGGCATTCCATTACTTTTTAAGGAAAGAAAACTAAATGTTATTTTGGGGTTTAGCAATTTGTGAGGATGACACTAGGAAAATATGCTGATATCTATATAAGAATACAGGCCAGAGGGAAATTTGCTCAGACAGACTAAAATCAATCAGATTATTATTTCTCAAACTGCATCGCAGCAAACAATGGGGTTGTGACGGTGAGGAAATTTTCCCACCAGTTAATTGACGTGTGACAACACCGGTAATACCGGTATCACCATTGGGGTTGCGTGGGGGGGTGTTAGTTCGTTTGAGTTTCCCTCTTTTCTTCGCTTTCAAATGGCTTGTAAAAGTGCCGTGCACATTTTACTTTCACTTTCAAATTAGCGGCAATTGAATTACCACAATTCGGCGTTAAGCAATTGTTCATTTGAGTTTTCCCTCTTTTCCTCGAATTTCTTGGCTTTCAAATAGCTTGAAAAAGAGCCGTGCACATTTTACTTTCACTTTCAAATTAGCGGCAATTCGGCATTGGTCAATTCAAGCAACAACAATGTCAAACTCATAGAACTTTTATTAACAAAATGAATAAAAATACACCATATATGCCTAATAAAATAAATTACTTGGGCTACACAAAGTTTAAATGGGTATATAAAACTGAAAATCAGCAAACACTGTGGAACCAAATAAATAAGAAACGCTTTTTTGAACATTTTAGCAATTTAAAAATATTAAAAAAGGATTTTTTTACACGGCACCCCGGTTGGGAAACACTGCTCTAACTGAACTAGGCTAAATTATTTTTGTTACTATAAAAAAATCAAAACGACAGTGGGGGGCGGTGCTGCGGTAGGCAAATGACCTAACCGGTATTAACCAGCTTAACACCAGTATAACCGAAAACACCGTCTATCGCAGCAAGCCTAGCAAACAAGAAATGTAAATATGGAGGTCAATGTAACTCTGCTGATATTTCAGTTGTTGAGCTTTATTGTGTTGTTTTAGTATTATTTATACTATTATAGTACGTATTAATTAATAAAAATTATCTTTTATTTTTTATATTTTACGAATTTTTTTTTATTACGATATATATTTATTTTTATCTTTATTTTATCTTTTATTTTATTTATTATTAATTTTAGTTGATGTGGGGGGGGGGAGATTACTTTTTTTTTTTACCTCATTGTAATTAAACAGTAGAGATGTTGTACTACTGCATTACCTCGTATTAATTTTAGTTTTAATTCACCTAAAATTAAGGAACAATTTAATAAATCATAGTAACAAATGTTTTTTTAAAGTAATTTTTATTTGTGTTTTATTGTGTATTTTTTATGTAATTTACAGTTTCTCAAAACTTTAAAAATGTATTAAGTTTTTCATCTAATTTTTGCATTTTATTACTGCTTCTGCTAATGAAAAAATGCAAAAGAACAACCGTACAAAGAATAAATCTGGGTCTGATTTATAAATAACTGTAAACCGTCATTTGCAAGTGTTAACTCTATCAGTCCTTGAAAATAATGTGGGATAACGTGGGAAAACCTACGGACACACTAAATGGAAATGTCAGCACAGATTTGTTGACACAAAGCTTAGTCTGATTGTCATTAATTGTAATTCTCACAGCTACAATAAATGACTTGTAGTTGTCTTCTCTAAACTAGCTTGATTTTATTCAGAATGCATACATTAGGACTACATGAGCTGCTTCAAATCATTATGTGTTTTCGTTTTTCCTGCATGCAGCGTTGGGAAAATCTGACCAAACCAGTGTGGGGAGCCCATCACCTCGAATACATGGCCCCTGACACTGAAATTAAAAGCCTGGCCTCTCTGTCTCCTGGAACGGAGGAGAACAAGGTGATCATTTTTGAGAGTGTTATGTAGGTCAAAGGGAAAGCTCCCTCCGAAGGCAAGCTGGTTGAAGAAATCGTCAGTATTTTTTTTTTTTTTACATTTGATGGAATTCTGCATCATCTTACAGTCTTAAAACAGCTGATGGAAATTGACGGTTACTTTTTGTTTCATCATACTACAGATCCTCTAGCAGATGCTCTTCCACCTGTTGAAACTGCAAACTATATACATGATTTTTAAGAAAAATTATGTGCAAAGTTTATTGCAGATATCAAGATTTGCAGGACAAAATCAGCATGTCTTTGGAGGGGACAGTATAGTGTAGCCTATAACATTATTTCACAGAGCGGCAGAATTCCCACAGGCCACTTTCCTGAACGTGATATGGGTCTCTTTGCACTGACACGAGAATCAAATCTGAGCAAAAAGCACATGGTTAAAATGAAGCAAAATGAAAAAAAAAAAAAAAGGATTTACAAATGCATCCTTGACTTAAATTGGCCCAATACACATATACACACACGATATTCTCAAATTCATAAAATCTCATGCATATGTAAATTAAAATAATGTACGCTTCAATAAACAGTGTTGCATTTAACTGATCAGCAAACATAGATACAGATGTAACAATCAAACTAAATGTGTCTTTGCAGATTTCATGTCAAGAAGGCCACATGCAGTTGCCAAATGATGAAAACTAATTTCTGTAGCTTTCTTTTGATGTGTCTTCGTCTGAGACAGGTGACCTCAATTCCTGGTGCGTGATATCACAGCATTTACTGGAAGTGCCAAACAGAGCGCGACTTCCCATCTCTGCTCAGGCTTGTCAGGAGATGGTTTTGGTTGCCATAAATAAAATCAATATCTTCCTAGTTCATCTGAAATGTACTGTGTGCTCGATCTATCCTGCACATCAAGAGATGCGTGTTTGGAAACATCTAGAGAGTTTTTAGCAGACACAGGCAGGATTTCAACTGAAGAAGTGGCACTTTTTTAAGGTGCTTGTAGGGCCACACAATTAATCGAATTTCTAATCGCGATTACAATTATGGATGCCACAATTACGTAATCGTTCTAAGTCCACTTATGTTATTCTGCACACTTAAGATATGTTTTTTTCTTTCTACATGTTAAGGGTTTTTCCATTGTTTTAGTTTTAGTATAACATTATAATACCATTCATATTTTTACTTTTTTTATCATTTAAAGAAGAAACCAATCCGATGTATAGTTGACATTTGAGGCTTAATGCTATAGAAAAGCACTAAAGGTGTGTTTTCAGCTTATTTTCATATAAACGAGAGAGAGCGAGAGAGAGCGCGTGAGAGAGAGAGTGCGAGCGAGAGAGAGAGCGCGAGCGAGCGAGAGAGAGCGCGTGAGAGAGAGTGCGAGCGAGAGAGCGCGAGCGAGCAAGAGAGAGAGAGAGCGCGAGCGAGCGAGAGAGAGAGAGCGAGAGAGGAATAATCGACAATTATGAATTGTCATAATCGTGCAGCCCTAGGTGCTTGTGAACCAAAAGTTGCATTTGATTAAAGTCAACATGAAACATCCATTTTTCACAATGCAATTAATCATTTATGCGGTATTACTCTGAATAACATCACTTTACTGAATTAAAATGGGCTTCAAGCAACGTTTCATGCCGACTTTAATTAGAAGTTTACAATTTTAGTTTCAGTTCTATATTTGGAGTGCCAGTACTAATATGATCTCTAAGATTTTTAGTTTATGATTTTAAATCATAATGGAAACGCAATGGAAGTTATTTTGAAAAAAATGCAAAAAGCAAATAAAACATTGTAAAGTTTCACAGAAATGCATATTATCATAAAGATTCTTCTAGCTTTAACTAACAATTCAATAACTACCGATAGTAGTAGGAATATAAGAGATAAATGAAAAGACAATGATTATTGAAAACACAATTTGAAATGTTTTCCACCTGGTAGAGGCAAGTTCTTTTTTTTTCTTTTTTTTTTGCCAATGTCAATTTTGCAGAACACTAAATATCCGAGAGGAGATCTTGATCTCTGTTGTTCTGCTGTAAACACGTTGCAGTTTTTGACACATAGTTGCCAAACTTTGCCTTTATTTGTCTTAATTGAGAACCGATAGACAAATAGCCAAGATTAAACCAAGACAAACTCATTCTGACCTGTGGGAATTCTGCCCTGAAGATAATCAACTCAAACACTAAATCATGTACAAATTAGACTACATAATGTAAGGCTTCAGAATACATTTGCACATTGTTGTAAAATAATCTGCTAGCACTTTTTAATCGTGTTAGAAAGTTTTTTTCTTCTTCTTGTGATTTACATACTGTAAAATAAATCAGAGATTTATTTTGTGAAGGCTATTATTTTGCTTATATGCATATAAATATAAATACATATTGATATTTGTGTTATATTTTAACGTTTGATGCTGTATGTACTTTTGATAAAGATGATAACAGAGTGGGAATTCTTCGTGAAATGCTGCAAAGCAGTTGCCGGGAGGCATACGAGACAGAAAGCACACAACCTTTGTTTTATTTGAAATATCAAGTGCTGCAGTTATGAAATGTTTTAGATTGTGTGTGTAAAACTCCAGTATTTTCTGCTGACCACCCAGAATCCAGCTCGATTTGGTTTTCATTGAACATCTAAATTGGGTGCTTACGTTGTTGTTTTGGTTATCATTTAATCTCTCACTGTAAAATACCCATAAACCAACGGTCTATGGTTTTGAGGAACACTAGAACATTTCCATAAAAAAAAAAAAAACATATTCAGCAGTTTCCCCCTTAAATGGGTTTATATATATATATATATGTGTGTGTGTGTGTGTGAGAATGTCCATTTTAGTGGCACATCCATTCATTCCCATAGAGTTGAACATGCCTTTATGAGTGAGAATGAAATGATCTAAGTGCCCCTCAGACATCTGAGGACTAAGTTAACCTCCTCACCGCTTCAAAATTAGAGATACTAGTTTACCAAAGGCCTTAATTGTTAACCATTTAGTCCGATTCATACAAAAATGAAAAATTGCTGGAAATGTACTCACCCTCAGGCCATCCAAGATGTAGATGAGTTTGTTTCTTCATCAGAACAGATTTGGAGAAACTTAGCATTACATCACCAATTCCTCTGCAGTGAATGGGTGCCGTCAGAACGAGAGTCCAAACAGCTGATAAAAACATCACAATAATCCACAAGTAATCCACATGACTCCAGTCCATCAATTAACATCTTGTGAAGTGAAAAAACATGTGTTCGTAAGAAACAAATCCATCAAGATGTTTTTAAATTCGGTTTTGCGATAGTGATGCTTTGATCAGCTCTGAGCTCTTATTCTGATGGCACCCATTTGACAGCATCAACATGTTGGATGGCCTTAGAGAGAGTACATTTTCAGCTATTTTTTATTTTTGGGTGAACTATTCCTTTAAACAAGCCAAACTGCAAAGAAAGAATCAGTCAAATCAAACACTAATTCTCACCATCAGAAAAATTCATTTCTTTCCATCCAAATAAGAGCCTGGGTTGGTCAGTAGATCAATTATTAAATAGTGATTACATGTAGAAATGTTTATCTAGAAAAAATACGTTAACAAAGTAAGAAAAAATGTTTATGTCATTTATTATGCTCTGCCAAATGTTCTCGACAGTATCTTTGCACTGAAGGTTTGCTGAATGTTTGTCGAGCTATAGAGAGCAAAAATTTCACGTCCTTAAAGGGAACGGTGAACAGCACAGTAGAATCACAGCTGAACCAATCTCAGAATACAGTGTGTTCATTTATTTACTCAATTAGCAAAGACTTCGTTAGATTCAGTAGAACCAAACCATAAAGCAGACCTCGAGAGGACCATCTAGTGAGAGAGTCCAAAGCTTTGGGTGACGATACTATCTTGAAACATCACAGTTGACCTGGTTATAAGCTCATTGACGTCTTTCATTCTTGTGGTTTGTAACACACTGTGATGTAACCATGGTTGTCCATTTTTAACTCTTAACAGTAGTAAAGCTAAAGGTAACTGTACCGTGTGTGTTAGTGTCTCATCTAACAGGATCCCTCTCATGTAAGAAGGGCTTCATGCTCCACCACTGTGATCTTGTGCTGATCCACCTGCCCAAATCAAAGCAACAAATGGCAATAAACTAACTCCATGAAAAATCTCATTGCAATTTTTTATTGTTGTGGTCTCAAACACTGACCAAGATGAGATATATATATATA